TAACTTTGAATGCATGGTTCAGGGCTGGCACTTGGTAAAGTCCAGTGTCTCTTGGGGGTGAGCAGTTCACAGGATTATTTTGTTAATCAACTCTTGGAAGACAAAACTGAACAAAAACATTTTACTAGTAAATGGAACATATTTAATTTGCTGTCTCATTCTGTGCCAGTCTGTCATTAGAGGGACCTACATCGAAACTTATAACAATAGCTTCCCATCAATAGTTGTTGACGGTTACTATGCTACTGGGTGCACCTTTCAAATGTCTAATTAGGAAGACCTGGCAGATGGGACACCTTGATCAATAACATAGTCAATTTTCTATTATGGAAATAAATTGATATTTCCACTGTAAAAACATTTCTTTCAGTACCTCAGAACAACACGATTTATTTCCAGCAAGAAGGTAACTAAGAGGAAGCATAATGTTAAGACAAATAATAGTAGGCACTCACCAGTCCTTTGAACTACACTCCATTTCCAACACCCCTAGGAGATGTCAGGTTTGCTTAGCCACTTCCTCCCAAGAGATTTGTTCTCAGAATCCTGCCTTCGGGCAGGAGATCTGGATCCAATACTTATCTTACTGCTCATCCAACCAGGGCCACTGTTATTAGACATGGAGTTGGCATTGGTGGGAGATGTGATACAGAGGAATACAGATACCGAGCCCAGGTGCAGGAATCAGATCTGGATATAAATTTTAGCCTTGAACTTGAACGCATTCCTGGCTTTCTCTGAAATTTATATGCCTCGCCTATAAATTGGAATCAACTAGACCTAAATTCAAATTGTTTTTCTTCTGCTTACTAATAGCTAAGAAACTTCACCAGTTTACTGGACCACTCCTAGCCTTGTTTTCCTCAGTGGGCGGCATGGGAGTGAAATGACATGATGTACCCAGGTATCACAGCACCAAGGGCACGCCTCGCAGATGTCAGTTCCTTTGTCCTTCCTTGTAATATGAACAATGTCAAAACAATGCACCAGTCTAGAAATTTGAATCTTGATGTGCAAATTGCTCAGTACTTTAGTATTTTTATTTTTAAGAAAGGCAGGCTGCCACACGCAGTGCCCCATTGGATGTGTCTGGAGCCTTGGAAGCTTAGCTCTCCTTTCTTCTAGAAATGGACCTTGAAAGCTTGTTTGGAGGTTCTAGCAGGCAAGGGCAGCTATTCATATACGCTTGACTGAAGAACAGTCTTCCTGTATCAGGAAAGTTCGTCCTCTTCAACTGAGTGTACAGCTTCGAGAGGGACGCACATGGAGCAGTGAGAGAGGAAGGGGTCACCCGCCTAGTCAACCCTGTCTGTCACTGAGGTGACAGAAGTCACAGCCAGGTCCCCCTCCATCCTGCTCAGTCCTTTTAGGTGTTGTTTTCTCTAAGAACCTGACTGTATACTCAAATACATTTCATGTAATGCTTCATCAATTGTTGATGCTGTCTGCTTGATCAGGCCAGTCTCAGATGTTTGATGAGAGGCGCTACACAAGGTATGCGAGCTGACGGACAGAAGACCATGTAGTGACTTCCAACATCAAGAGGGCTAAATCTAGTTGGGAAGTCCCCACACCAACTGAGATCACCTAGTCACAACAGTGACACTAATGTCTCCTAAGGGATAAAGGGTGCCAGACTCTTAGAATGTTAGGAATTCTCACTGGTGCCCAAGTTCTGCCAAAGTATCTCAGAGAACATCGTGCCTGAGTCTTCTTTCCTGTTACCTCCCTTGCTCACTAGGAACCTAGCCAGCTTGAGGAGGAGGGAATGGTATATTCCTGCTTCAATTACTGACAGCCTCATCATCTCCAGAGCCCACCTCAGGCTAAGGAACCATCTGTTCTCTCCATTATAGCCTCTTGATATTAAAGAATGCTCAGGATCTGAAGAAAGTTTGGTTACTTCCTTGGGACTTGGTTCTTGGATGCCTTCTCAAGATGGTCAAGGACAGTCAGTGGTCTAAGGAAGACTAGTAAAAGAACAGGTGAGCTTGTTTGGGAGGGATGAGAGAATGGGGAATCAAGAGTTCTATTTTGGACATGTTAAATTTTCATTCCCACTCAACACCCATGGGGAGATGTCAAGTGGCTTTTTAGATATGCAAATCAGGAATTCAAAGGCGATGTCTGAAATGGTGAACTGATGTTATAAATTGGGGAATCATTATCACACGGAGGCAAGTAGAATCTTGGAATTGCTATACATTTCTGGGGGAGTGTAGAGACGGAAAAGTAACAAACTCAAAGGAAGGCCTCCAGGCGAGAGGCATTGAAGGATTGATAAGATTTAGATGGATGAAGACAGAGAGATACCCCCAGGTAGGCTCAGGATTATGAACAAAAACACTGCAGGGCAAATACAGTGTCTTGTTTTGGCAGCTAGTGAAGATACTACTAACTGGGTTTTCAAACTGTAGCCCATGGAACCCCTGGGTGTCCTAAGCCCTTCAAGGACTGTCTCTTGGGATCGAAAGGAAGTTCAGCCATGTGGGTCTCAAATCCCCCATCCCCGCCTCAACCATAACAGTTCCTTTATTGCCTCTTTATATTTTTTAACTTAATATTTTCTGCAAAGACAGGACTTTAATGCCTTTTAAAGAAGTTGTTTTGTGACAAGCTCACAGATCCTAGAGTCCTAAGAGATACCTTAAAATTTAAATTCTGGCCCTTAGATGCTATATGACCTCAATCCGTTTTCCTCTGGTATAAAAGAGAGGCTACTGCTAATACTTCTAATTGGTGAATTTATTGAGAGAATTAAATAAGAAAATGTATATAAAGTACCTAATGGAGTACCTGACGCTCAGTAGGTCTTCACCCCTTATTGGTTTCCTTCCATTTTCAAGGGAGTGCTGACCCAGGAGAATTCATTCCAGACACACCATTCTCCAGGTTCTCCAGCATTGCTAGCCTGATGCAAATACCTTTTCATTATCTTGGAGAGTTTCTGCTCTCCTACTGTCAACCTCAGCAACCTGACATGCACATGCACGCACGCGCGCGCGCACACACACACACACAAATGCACGCACACACATGCACACATCTTCTGTTTTATTTCTTTCTGGTTCCTGCCTCCCCCATGCACATTCCTTCCCACTCTCACAAATTCCCAGAGGTCAGCTGTGATGGGTCAAGGCTTCCCCAGGACCCAGTGGGCTCCCTGGCACCAGACAAAGCCACCGAGTCCTCTCTGGAAACCTGCCATTCTTAGGAGACAAGTTTGGATGGGAGGATTTCAGCCTTCATGAGCTCACTTCACGCCTCTGAAGGCCAGAGCTGAAAGGTGCCCAGAGAGAAAGCCAGGGGCCTAGAGAATACAAGAGAGACATTTTGAAGACTTAGTGGAAAAGCCATAAACTGCTGTTTTCCTCTCCCAGACAGACCGTATTTTCCAAAGATGGCTGCCACATTCTGTCCCATCCCGCATGCTCTTCTACAGAGTAACTTGACCCTCCTCCCTGAGAAGTGGGCTCTAATTCTCCTGCCCTTGAAATCCGAACTGATCTCATGATTTGCTCACACCCAGCAGAAGGCTACAGAAATGGATTCTCTGCCTGCCAACCAAGGCTGGGTCAGAAAAAGGACAAGTATCTCCCTCCCCCCCACCTGGCTTTCCTGGACTGCTCACTCTGGGCACGCTCCCTCCTGGACATCAGGCCCCATGCTGGGAGAAGGCTGAGCCACATGCAGACACCGCCTACCATCATGCTCCAGGTGAGTCATCCCAGTCCAGGGAGCAGGCAATACCTCTAAACGCTCGCAGCCCCAGGCGTCTGAGCCGCCACCAGCATTTTCGTTCTCCCCAAGTGAATCCCAAATATTATGGAACAGAGACAAGCTATCCCCTTTGCTTCCTGTCTGAATTCTTGACCCTCATAATCTGTGACCTGAAGAAAATGCTCATCACTCAGTTTTTACATCACTCAGTGTGGGATGGTTTGTTATACAGCATTAATGAAGGGAATGCAACCCCCAAAACATACAAGCAAGCACGCGTGCGCGCGTGCACTCACACACACGTGCGTGTGCATGCTCACCCATGCTTAAAGAAGAAAGAACAACTCACTAACACTGTGTCCCGGTTTCCCCATCTGTCAGCAAGGTGCAGCTCTAGGCTTCCAAGGACCCTTCCTGCTCTGACATTCTGCTCCTGGGACCTTCTGGTACCTTCCCTCCCTTCCCTCTTCTGCTCAAGCCTCATCTGAAATCCTTCAGATTCTTTGAGGCATCCCTGACTGAAGACACCCCAGCTATAGTGGCATAGGTATATACAATTTTATTTTATTTTTTTAACGTTTATTTTTGAGAGGAAGAGAGAGCATGAGTGGGGCAGGGACAGAGAGAGAGAGAGGGAGAGAGAGAGAGAGAGAGAGGGAATCCCAAGCAGGCGTCAGCGCAGAGGCTGTTGAGGGACTCGATCCCACAAACATGAGATCATAATCTGAGATGAAATTAAGAGTTGGAGGCTTAACCAACTGAGCCACCCAGGCGCCCCTGGCTGCATTTTACACAGCATGAAAGCCTCCAGGGAAAGGAACCAAACTTTGATGGTGGGATTTCAGAGCCAGCAGCTATTTTTTTTTAAATATTTTTATTTATTTCTAGGAGAGAGAGAGAGACAGCGTGAGCAGGGGAGGGTCAGAGAGAGGGAGATACAGACTCTCAAAGAGGCTCCAGGCTCTGAGCTGTCAGCACAGAGCCCAACGCAGGGCTCGAACCCACGAACCGCGAGATCATGACCTAAGCGAAAGTCGTAGGCTTAACCGACTAAGCCACCCAGGCGCCCCAGCTATTTTTTTTTTTAAGGGAATTGGGGAAAGTGGTTATCTTAAGTCTTGAAATTATGACAGTATTTGTATATCATTGTTATGTAATGCATTATTTATACACAATAACTGTTATTACATAGTGTTACCTCATGCTGATGCTGACTGTGTGCTGAGCGTTCTTGCAAGCACAGAACGTGTTTTATCCAGTTAGCCCCTCCTAACAGGAGATGGAGTGTGTCACCTGCCCTCACACCATGTTAAGAAACACAAGGACACCTGCCATGTGGGGAGACCAACATACCTGAGAATTCTACACTAAATGTGGGTGTGCCCAGCCCCGGGTTTCCAAAGCTTGCTGCAGTGAGATACGTTTTATGCTCTGAGCCATTGTGCTCCTCTGATAAAACAGAATCATGTTCATGTCTTCATCTGCAGAGGAAATATATTAATGAAGAGGATTTTCTCTTTTTCTCCCATAATTCTTTTTTAATCTCTGGCATTCACCACCACTTGCTGACTAGGAAAATCAGTTCTAGCTCAAAGGAGAGGAAGATACTGCAGTAATTAAGAGAATGGGCCTTGGAGTTAGAAAACACATGAAGAAGGGCACTTGGGTGGCTCAGTCAGTTAAGCATCCAACGTCAGCTCTGTGAGTTCAAGTCCCTTGCATCTGGCTTTGTGCTGACAACTCAGAGCCTAGAGCCTGCTTCCGACTCTATGTCTCCCTCTCTCTCTCTTTGTCCTGCCCCTGTTGATGCTCTGTCTCTCTGCCTCTCAGAAATAATAAATAAACATTAAAAAAAAAGAAAATGAAGAAAATAAAGCAGTCACATATTGCCATGTGACCTTGGGCTGGTCACTATTCTAATATTTAATCTTGTCATGTTACAGGGGTCATGAGAGCTCCTCCCTCATAAAGTTGGGTCAGGATTAAAGGAGATTATTTATTAGGTACAGTGCCTGGCACATGTAAATAGCTAATACAGGCTCATTGCTTTTATTTACCAATCATTCCGATATTATTACAGGCAAATTCAAGACAGAAGGTGATTTTCAAGGTGATTTTGGCCTGCAAGAAAAAGTCTCAGGAATAAGAGAAGGTATGTGTATATATGCATGCACATCTGAGTTTCATAAATTAGATAATGTCTCATAATAAAAATGTCCAGATTAATTGTTAATTTTCCACTCTTCTGACAAAATTACCCTACCAAAAAATAATATTCTGAAGCAGGAAATGCGTACCTATTGGAGCAGAGCAGAAATAGATTCTAATCCTGGATTAGTTACTTACCTTCTCTGAATCTTGGTACAGACACGGCGTATTAAGTGCTCAATAAATATTTGCGTCACAAAATTCTAAAAATTACTATACCAATATCTACCTTTTTCTTGTTTAGGATTAAGTGAGATATAAAATAAAAGTGCCTAGCTCACAGTTGCTAGTTGGCAAATGTTCATGTTCTTTATCCACCAACTATATTTTAAGTGCCTGACATATTTTATTAAGGAACTCCAAATTTGATCAGTTCTTTTCATTCTGATGGATTTTAATTCCTTTATCATGCAGATAATGGCATTTTAGCTACTGAGATGGTTTTACTGAATATACTCTCTATTCATTCTAGAGATTAATAACAACAGGCTCTATGGATAAAGTGATGGTGTTTCTCTGAGGAACTCAAGAAGCTGTGCATATATTAATCCTCATCTTTGTGAAGAAAGTAGAAAACATCTCATTTTTCATTGGTTTAAGAGATGGCCGAGTTTGCGTTTATCATGAGTGTGTGTGTGTGTGTGCGCGCGCACACACACACACACACACACACCTTGAATACAGTGTCTCTTTACAACCATGAAGTCTGAGATGGTCATGGAATCATTAAACCCCCTTCCTCTGGAGGTAAATTTAGATCTCCGTGACTTCCTGAAAGGGGATCATTTGTTTCATCTTTAAAATTAGGGAGTAGTGGGGGAAAGTTCCGTTGATTCTTTTTTAATGCTCAGCAATTTCTAGTCTTCCACTTAGAAGCAACTAAATTCACATCATGTGACTCACCTTCCTGCCATAAATCTGGTGATCAATTTAAAAGCTTCAGTCTGCCAGCCATTTCCTAGGTAACCAACCCCAAGTGACTTTAATGGACAGCCCATAACAGACAGAAACCAGCAAGAGAAAGGAAAAACTTGTCAGTCTGTACTTTTTTCTCAATACGCTTAAATAATTAAAAATGCCATCAAGAAACTAATCCATAGACACAATGGTATGTAAAATATGATTGCATAGCGCTTTACTACCTTCATTGATTCACTCTGAGAAGGGGAAGAACCATTTACTCAAGACTTTACTTGTCCCCAAAGGAGTTTCTTCCAACCTTTGAAATGAAGTTAGTTATCAGGTCAAATCTTGTTGAGTGGATGAGTGAAAAAAGAGCTCAGTATTTACAGCATGACCTCAAAGTTTCCTTTCAATCTGGAACTATCACAAATGGATTCTTTCTGGAATGCACACTGGATTGCATTTAGGGACTCAAGAAGCAAATCTTTCTCTCCTCACCCAGCCTTTAGGTGATGACAGCCCTGTCTCCTTCTTGACTGTAATCTCATGAAATATCCTGAGCCACAACCAGCTAAGGCATTCCTGGGGGCCCTAACCCTTAGACTATGTGAGATGATAAATCTGTTGCTCTAAGCTGCTAAATTTGGGGTAATTCGTTACACAGCAATAGACATATTCTTAAGTGAAAAAGCAAGGGACACACCATGAGGCACACTATGATTCTTTCTGTTTGTTTAAAGCATACCTATGCATATGCAGAAAAAAATCACAGATATGGCTAACTCTACACGGAGAGATTATTTGCATTTTTCCTTCTAACTTCTCTTTATTTTCCTAGCTTTCCAGAATGAATCTCTTGTTTCCGTAATAAAAAAACAATTGAAGTTAAAAATTTTTAGTAATTCAACGAAGCTTAAAGGTTAAAGCTTATCCATTTGGGAGTCAGTCCTCAGTGAATCCTGCATTAAACATATATCAGCGCATGACCTTTGGAGAAGATACATAATCTTTCTTAGCCCCTATTTTTTCATTTGTAAAATGTTAGTAATGAAAATAATTGTATCTCATTGGGTTTGAGGGATGCTTAAATAAGGTAATGCAAGCCAAGCACCAAGCACAATACTGGTCACATAGTAAGCACTTGATAAAGGTTAGAAATAAATTTGAAAAGAATCACCTTCCTATATGTAAGTACTTTCTGAGTGTCAGGTAGCAGGTTAAGGTAATTAAACACAGAAAATACCAGGGCAATAAAGAATTAAATGGCTCTTAAGTTGAAAGAAGGAAAACCATTAACTCCGGAATAGCAGCAGCAGCATCGTAAACGGCAAACAAATACTGAGCATCCTCCATGTACAAAGCAGAACTGTAGATGGGAAGAACATGGGTTTTAGAATCAGAAGGAAGTACGTTCAAATCCTGTCTCTTCCTTATTAGCTGTGTGATGGTGGAAACACAGCCTTCCCTCTCATCTGCAAAATGTTTGAGTCCATTGGGGCCATGGTTGCAATTGACATAAATGGATTGGGCGATCTTAACCCCCAAAACACAAGTCATTGAAAGCATTTGGACTTCTACTGTCAATGAGACAAGAAGACCAGTTCGGAAAACTGGTTAGTTTGGGAAGGTTCCAGGTGACTGGACAGAAACCACAGCAAGACCATGCGGCAGCAGGAATGTGGTTAGTGACCTTTATGCTGCTGGCATGAATATGACCTCCAACTGGCCCCATGTCCTTAAATTGATCACTGGCTCAAGATTCACAGTCCTCAGTTGTGACTGCCACGTCACTCTCATGCTGCTGTTGGCTCTGCCAGGACAGAAGAGGTCTCTTCAGCCACCATCATGGGAGTGGTTGCTATGTCCACCGTGACCATGTGTGTTGGGCTATTTCAGGAAAGAGAAACTGGGCACCAGAATGCCAACAGCCCACCCTCATAGGAATGGTGATATGAAGTATTGCAAACTCGTTATGAGGATGAAGGCAATAAGTAGACTTTAACATGCATATCACAATGCCCAGCACATAGTTGGCACTCAAAAACTGGAAGCTATTATTATTAGACAATCAACATCTAGCCTCTGGAACAGAGCAAAATTCAACTGACCACCTATTCTGTGCCTGGCTCCATGCTAGGCTGAGGATAGACTAGTTACAATATTGCTTAATATAGAGTTACATCTGCTTATAATAAGATTACAGGATAATGGGACAGGCAGAGAAATCAGAAACAGTAATGGAAATCTGGAATCACCATGATGACGGCCAGATGCTCTGGAAAGGAGTACAGTACTCGGATTCTCCAAGGAGGGACTATTCCTTCTGTCTTGAGTGGCTGGAGAATGTGGAAAGAAAAAGGAATTCCTCACTGGAATGGTGGCATTTGAGCATGGAAGATATTCTCCTCTTCGTCTATCTTCGTCCTGTGTATTCTTCAGGGTGCCTACTCGAATAAAACAGCCTTGCTTCTCAATCCAAAATACAGATTGAGCAATTTGAATAAAGCAAAGTTCTGAATGAATCCTTCCAGATGAGCTAGGGGTTGCCAGTCAAAAGTATGCCTTTTTTTCCCCTTCATTAACTTCCATTGTCATCCCTACATCATGCCCAGGGGCTACTTCTCCTTCTTATTAATGGTCTAACTCAAAGCAAAGGTTTTTCTCTCATTTATTCATTTGTCATTTCAATAGAGGCCCAACACTTATCGAGGCGGTAACCCAGGCAGTGATTTCTAGCGGTTAAGCACCTGGGTTATAAAATCAAGCAGATCCGGTATAGATCCTACTTATTCCCTTAAGCTCCAGGTAACCTGGGACAAGTAACTCGCCAGAACTGTTTACGCATGTGTAAACCAGGGATGAACACGGTAAACATGATTCTCAGAGTTGTGACACCACATGGGTATAACCTTGCAGGATGATAGATGCCCAGTAAATGTTCGCTATGTTGTTACTACAAGTAGGATGCGTGTTAGCAATGCAACTACTCAAAGTGGATTGTGTATCATTAACAAAGAGAAGACAGGCTGGAGTTTTCAAAAGCCTTTGTTAGATACTAGCAGAGACGGGAAGGAAATAAAACAAATTTGACAAATACAACAGTTTGACATAATCAAGGACAGCTTTCTGACTCTTGGCTACCTATTCCTTTACTGTTTCTTCACGTCAACAGTGGTGGCCGGCCCCATGAAGGTGCTCTATAGATATTTAGCGATTTATTTAATTAATAATGTATGTTTACTCAGTGAGGGTTAGCCCAGGACCGTTACCTCCCACAACTCCGGGGATACTATTTTACATATGACACATGTAGATGACATCTTGCTTCAGCAAAGTGGTTCTTTTTTTAAAAAATATTTTTATTTATTTCTAGAAGAGAGAGAGACAGCGTGAGCAGGGGAGGGTCAGAGAGAGAGGGAGTCACAGACTGAAACAGGCTCCAGGCTCTGAGCTGGCAGTCAGCACAGAGCCTGATGCGGGGCTTGAACCCACGAACCGCGAGATCATGACCTAAACGAAAGTCGGACTCTTAACCGACTAATCCACCCAGGCGCCCCTCAGCAAAGTGGTTCTTAAGCTTAGCTGCACTTTAGAATCACTTGGAAACATTTCAAAAAATACTGATGCCTGGGTCTCACCCCTAGAAATTAAGGTTTCATTGGTACAGGGTGTGGTCTGGGCATCAGGATTTTCTAAGGCTCCCCGGAGAGAATAACGTGCAGCTAAGTGTGAGAACCAATTCTCCAAGTATTTTGCATGACTTTTGATCTCTGGATTGCATAGCAGGGTCATCCTGTTATCAATGGCTCAAAGTGCTGTGTTTTCTAAGATGTACAGTGAGAGGGGGAAATGACGGGGCTGCCTGCCGGGGTAATTTATTATGGTGGGAGAGTGGAGGATTGCAATCAGGTGGCCTGGATTTAAGTGTAGGCCAGCTTTTCACTAAACTGTGTAACCTTAAGCAGCTTGCATTGGTGGGGAGTGTCTTAAAAATTCAATGAACTGTGACACAGAGTGCCTGGCAGAGGGTTGGCCCTCAATAACAGCTGGTTGTAACTAAGGCTTCTCTGACTTTCAATGCTGACCACTTCGGCAGCCTTCCCTCACGTTCAAGCTAAGCGAGTAATTAGCAAAGTACAACCAGTAGGTCAAAAAAATTCAGCCACCTGTGTTTTTAAATAAAGTTTTATTAGAACACAGCCAATGCTCATTCCTTTAATGGCTACGGCTGCTTTCACACTTCACCAACTGAGAGACTTTTATGAACTGCAAGGCCTAAAATAGTTACCCATCTGGCCCTTTACAGAAAAAGTTTGCCTGTCCCTGATCTAATCACCAATGAAAGACATTTTCTGTGCACTTTATGATAATGAGGATCTATTGTTATTTGAAAGTCCCCTCCCCCACATTGTGATCTAGGATCTTTGAAGCCGGACCAGCTCCTGTCATTTTTCTCTGATGATTCTATTTCATATTCACTTCTTGCTTTTGCCAAAGAACTTTGATGTGTGAGCTGTCATTTCCCACAGAGTCTAGCATAGTGTTGAGCAAACAGAAGACACTTGAAAAATATTTGACTGATTGATTGCCTTTCTCTGATTTATTTCAAGCTCGAGCAATTGGGCCAATGGTTATTTTTGTCACTGACGTGATAGGTCACGAAGACTATCACAAATCCTATATCAAATGGGGACGGGATATTTCAAACCATTGTATGAAATGGCTTTTTTATAACATTTCTGATCGTCACTAGTTTTTATCCATTCCTTTATAAGCATTCTGCGATTCTTCCCACATGAGACAGTGCTACTTCTGTAGAAAAGAACAATGTTTGGGCTTGAGCTAAAACCCCAGCCTGGCCAGTTCCAAGCTTTGAGGCCTCAGCCATATGGCTTATGATTCCATATCATTGAGAACCTAGACAAGTCAGAAACATGCTCTTCCCTTGGTCTCTCTTCTCTACCAGTTCCTGGGAAATCTTATTGGTGAATTGTCTTTTATAACAGTAGACAAGGGCACAGACCAATCTAAAGTCAGTTAAGTCTGCTGAGAAAAACAGCGAGGAGAAGCAAATGTTCAAGACAGAAGATAAGAGATGTCGTGAAATGCACATGCCTATCTGTGAGACTACAGAGTAATGTGACATTTCTTGTCATTGATTTGACCTGCTTCCAGCTCTTCTGTATAATAAGTGGCAGGGCGTTCAATACGATTAACTATTCTATTTCCATACAATGTAGAGTTCACTTTAATGATGTTTTCCACTTATTTTGTGCTTGTTATCATACTAAGAAGACCATTTTTTTTAAATAATTGAATTTACCAAGGAGACTGCATTACAAAAACAAGCTGAATATTGTCCAGTTACTTAATACTGTTGCTTAATGTGAACCTGATGTTGAAGTTTTTAAACGGGAGACTTTGTAATTACTTTGAGTTAATTCTGTCTTTATTCCAGACATTGGATGATCCTTTGTTGGAATTTTGTGTGTATTAGATTCTTTTGTCTGGGATAACTTATAAGAGAGCCTCTGAGAGAGATTATGTAGCTGGAAAACAAGACCAAGTGTGGAAGAGATATTTTTCATCTCTACAAGAAAGTGGCATGGTTGGAACAGTCTGCACACCGTTGCAGGTAACCCAAGGCACAAATTCTCTTCCTTACAGCCATGTATTTTGCAGCAAAATGGATTTTTAAATTTATATTTGAATATGGAAAGGTCTTATATTATGGGAATTCACTTCAAATTAAATAATGAACCATGAAAAATTAAACCTGAGCACTCTTCAGAACTCTGATAAAGTAAGCCTTAGCTAATAAATAACAATAATCTTTCCATGATACATACTTGATAATCACAATGATCCTACCAGGTAGGCATAGCAGGCATTAAAGTTACTATTACATACAAAAAGAAAGTCTTAGGGAAGCAAAACCCATCCATACAAACTGGGTTTTAAACCCATACCTGCCTTCAAATTTGAGGTTTTCAGTCTTTTACAGATAAGTCGTCTTCTGCTCCCCGGAAGTGCGGCAAGCAGGTCTTTATCATTGTGCTGTGTTCTCCTTCCCTACAGAGTCTATCCAGCTTCTGACTTTTTCTTTGGTCTTGTCTCTTGGCTCTAATCTGCACCCTTCCCTTGGGAACCATTATAGAATTTAACCTTCCTCTTTATGGCCACATTTTTTTTTTAATATTTTTATTTATTTCTAGGAGAGAGAGAGAGAGAGAGAGAGAGAGACAGCGCGAGCAGGGGAGGGTCAGAGAGAGAGGGAGACACAGACTCGGAAACAGGCTCCAGGCTCCGAGCTGGCAGTCAGCACAGAGCCCGACGCGGGGCTCGAACCCACGAACCGCGAGATCATGACCAAAGCGAAAGTCGGACGCTCAACCGACTAAGCCACCCAGGCGCCCCTTATGGCCACATTTTTGGCTCTTCCTTGTTTTAGGGTAACTGTCCAGCCCTAGGCAACTCTGCTGCAAGACCTGAATCCATTCTTCTCTACACTTGGCAGACAGTGTCTGCTCTCGTGAGGTGTTTTGTCTGGCAATGAGGCTGTGCACTCCGTTTACTCCAGGAGCCTCTGTTCAGAGCTGAGTGGTGGAGACCAGAGTTCTGGCTGGAGGCTGGAGACACAAGAGGGGATGGAGATTATGAAGGAGATATTCTCCAGCTGGCAGATTGCGGGAGCCAGTTTTGGTCCTGGTCACTAGAGGAATAAGACAGCTTTGTTTTCATGAGAAACTGTGAGACTCAAACCCTAAGATAAAAACTGCTTTGGAGCCTAGTATTGTCATTCATTCAACAGATATTTAATAAACAGCTACTGTGGGCCCCACACTGTTAACAGACATTGAAGATATGCCAGGGAATGAAATAGGAAAGAATTCCTGATCTCAAAGACCTTATATTCCAGTTGGATAATACAGAGAATATACATATAAATAAAATACATATAAATAAAAATATGCACAGTTTAGTCTTCCAAACTTCAAACGTGGTATGTTTCTATTTAGTTATTTTATTTGTCTCAGCAGTGTTTTGTGATTTTTTAGTGTTTAGACCTTGACTTTTGTTATATTTAGTTCTAAGTATTTTATGTTTCTTGAAGCTATTATAAATAGAATTTTTACATTTCATTTTCTAATTGTTTACTGCCAACATAAACCACACAGTTGATTTTTCATATTAACCTTGAAAAGTGCAAGCTTGTGAAATTCACTTATCATTTCTAGTCATTTTGTGGATTTCCTAGACTTTTCTACGTAAATAATCATGCTATCTGCAAATAGAGAGTTTTACTTCCTCCTTTCAGATCCGTATGTCTTTTACTTCTTTATCTTGTCTTATTGCAAAAGCTAAGATGTGTCCTGTACAACCTTAAAAAGCGTGGTGACAGTGGACATCCTTGCCTTATTCTTACTCTTGGGTGAAAGAGTTCAATTTTCACCATTAATTATGATGTTATTTGTAAGTTTTTAATAAAAAGCCTTTAAAAGTTGGAGAGAAGTTCTTTTTTATTCCTTCCTGGTTTTCAGACTTTATCATGACTAGGTATTGACTTTTGTCAGATGTACTTTTGCATCACATGGCTTTTCTTATTTATTTTGTTAATGTTATAAATTATATAAAATATAATATGAATATTATACATGGCATTGTATATGAAATATGTAATACAGAGTATGTATAAGATGTAATGCTATGAATAACACAAAATTATATTAAAAATTGTAGTATACATGCTATAAAAAATAAACAAGTTCTATTCCACATAGGAGTGAAATCACATGGTATTTGTCTTCTCTGATTTATTTTGCTTATCATTATACTCTCTAGCTCCATCCATGTTCCTGCAAGTGGCTAGATTTCATTCTTTTTTGTGGCTCAAAAATATTCCATTGTATATATACACCACAACTTCTTTGTCCATTCATCATGTGGAATTTAAGAAACAAAACAAAAAAACAAAGGAAACAGAGAGAGAGAGACAAACCAAGAAACATACTGTTAACTATCCAGAACAAACTGGTGGTTACCAGAGGGACAGTGTGCGTGTGTGTGGGGGGGGGGGGACGATGGGTGAAGTAAGTGATGGGGACTGAGTGCATTTTTCACGATGAGCACTAGGTAATGTATATAATGAATCACTATATTGTGTGTCTGAAACTAACATAACACTGTATGTTAATAATACTGGAATTAAAATTAAAAACAATAAAAATAAAATAATAAAGGGAATAAACATAATGGGACAACTGTTTCAAACAGTGGGCAAAGAAGGCCTCGCTGAAGAGATCACACTTGAATAAAGGCTTAAATAAAGTGGAGGAGCAAATTGTGCAAAAGTTTGAGGAATATCATTCCAGACACCAAGTGGTAGAAGATGGGTTTGAAGAGATAACCAGGGGTTGACTATGTAAGGTTTTGGTTGCCATTGTAAAGAGTTTGGGATTTTATTCTGAGTCCCCCGGGAATCATTAGATTTTTTTTTTTTTTTTTTTTAGCAAAAAAGCACCATGAACTGATTTATGGCTTTTAAAGATCTTTCCAGTTGTCTTGTGGAGAATCAGATGCTGGTGTCAAGAGCGGGTGGGAGTCAGTCAGGACTGTTTTATCAGGCCGCCAGGGACACTGGCTCCCTGAATTAAAAGGTAACAGATGAGGTGGTGGAAAGGGGTCTGTCTGGGGTTGCTGTTGGATTGGATCTGGGGTGAGGGGAAAATGAAGATTCAAGGAGACTCCTAGGGTTTGAAGCCTGAGAAGCTAGGTGCCACTTACTGATGGGAGACAATATTGGGAAATAGAATCCAGAAGCCTGTTTGGCCATGTAGGCACTCACCTTTTTAAATGAATCCAAAATAAACAACCAGGGGCACCTGGGTGGCTCAGTCAGTTAAGCATCCGACTTCGGCTCAGGTCATGATTTCACTATTTGTGGGTTCGAGCCCCACATCAGGCTTAGTGCTGACAGCCAGCTCAGAGCCTGGAGTCTGTTTCGGATTCTGTGTCTCCCTCTCTCTCTGATCCTCCCCTGCTCACACTGTCTCTCTCTCCCTCTCTCTTTCTCAGAAAAAAATAAAAATAAAAAACAAAACAAAACAAAAAACCCAACCAGACATATAGCTCTGGAGCTCAGGGAAGAAGTGAGTAGAGAAAAAGTAATGGGCAACCTTAAGAATATAGATGATGTTTAATCCCACTGGGGTGAGGTGAGTTCACAGAGGAAAGAGAGTAAGTAGAGCTTTGTGCTGGGGAATTCTAACACATGTAGAGTCGGGAGGAGGGGAGAAGTCCCAGAAAAGAGGCAGAGAAGGAACAGCCAGAGAGGTAAGAGGAAAACAGGAGGAGTGGGGTGGCTCAGGAACCAAGAAAGGGCTTTGAGAGAAAGGAAGTGATCCACTGTCCCCAGTGCTCCTGAGAGGCCAAGTGAGATACGGATCAAAAACTGACCATGGACTTTGGTAAGGTGGAAAAGAACAGTGGGGATGGAGGAGACAGCTTAAATAGAGTAGGTTGAATAACAAAGAGATTTACAGTGAATGGGTTGAGTGGGTTGGAGATAGCAAGTATATGCAAAGTTTTTAGAAGTTTCACCTTAAAGGAGAGCAAAGAAATTACTTGGGCTTGAGATGGGAAATGGAGCCTAAAAATGGCTTGTTTAGTTTTGCTTAAACATCACAGCTATCTCCCATGTGCTTATATACTGATGGGAGTACGTCCTGCAAAGGGAGAAGCTGTCCATACCAGAAATGGATAGGATCATTCAGAGTAGCAAAGTCCGAGACTAATGGGGCAGGATGAGAGCCAATGATCACCCCAGGGACTGGCCTGACCTGGGAACTGGACCAGTTCTCCACAGAGGACGAGAAGAGGAAAAGCGAAGAAGGTTGATGGGTAGACCAGGAAGAAGCAGGGCGAGGCAGCTCTCTCCCTCCAGATTTTGTCATCGATGGCAGGGAAAGAAGAGAAGGAGCAAGTGACAAGGCCAGAGCAGCACTGGAATTGTGGGGAAGGAGGAGACATGATGAACTGGTAACCCTATGGGTAGAGAATGAGGGGTTCAGGGCATCCAGTAGGACAGGCAGGTGGCCCTATCGTCTGCCTATGACTTATCATAATTTGAAATGAGGTACATCAGCAGGGATGTGTGTTTTTCTGCTACAGAACATTTTTCCACGTTCAGCTACTTGGGCTGAGAAGCACATGGTGAGCAGTGTTGGGGTCTAGCGTGCTGGCTCAGTAATGGTGACGTGTACAAGTTGTGTTAATTGCAGTGGTGGTCTGTGTTTTGTAAGCTGAGTTGAGAAGTAATTGATAAAGAGTAAAACAGTGTTAGGGTCTTTGGAGGTCTGAATAAGTTGGGAGAGTTCTGTTTGTGGGGTGGAGGAGGGGGCAGTCGTCACATAAATGAGCTGGAAAAACAGAATCAAGTTGTCAAAGAGTAAGATGCTCCAAACAAGAATTGGAAGGTGGTTCAGCATTGCCAATGACAAAGTAGGGGGTGGGGGGGAGTCATGTGACAAGATGCTTGGGCTTTGGTGGAAGAAGAGAATGAGAAGGACATAGGAACGCGGGACAGAAGCCTGGATGTTGGATGGATGGGTTACCTCGATGTTCTCCTTGAAGGCTTCGCACATTGTTTCTCTCTCGGACACCT